AAAAGGATGCAAATGACCAGCTGTCTGCAAGGAGGATCAATCCTTCCCTTCCCCACCATCCAGTTAGAACTGAAGAAGCTTCTTGGAGGAGAAGCGAAAGGTCTTTAAAGAAGACACAAATAAACCTCCAAGTGGCCTCAACGACCCTCTAAAAAGGATGCAAAGGACCAGCTGTCTGCAAGGAGGATCAATCCTTCCCTTCCCCACCATCCAGTCAGAACTGAAGAAGCTTCTTGGAGGAGAAGCGAAAGGTCTTTAAAGAAGACACAAATAAACCTCCAAGTGGCCTCAACGACCCTCTAAAAGGATGCAAATGACCAGCTGTCTGCAAGGAGGATCAATCCTTCCCTTCCCCACCATCCAGTTAGAACTGAAGAAGCTTCTTGGAGGAGAAGCGAAAGGTCTTTAAAGAAGACACAAATAAACCTCCAAGTGGCCTCAACGACCCTCTAAAAAGGATGCAAATGACCAGCTGTCTGCAAGGAGGATCAATCCTTCCCTTCCCCACCATCCAGTCAGAACTGAAGAAGCTTCTTGGAGGAGAAGCAAAAGGTCTTTAAAGAAGACACAAAGAAACCTCCAAGTGGCCTCAACGACCCTCTAAAAAGGATGCAAATGATTAGCTGTCTGCAAGGAGGATCAATCCTTCCCTTCCCCACCATCCAGTCAGAGCAGAAGAAGCTTCTTGGAGGAGAAGCAAAAGGTCTTTAAAGAAGACACAAAGAAACCTCCAAGTGGCCTCAACGACCCTCTAAAAAGGATGCAAATGATTAGCTGTCTGCAAGGAGGATCAATCCTTCCCTTCCCCACCATCCAGTCAGAGCAGAAGAAGCTTCTTGGAGGAGAAGCAAAACATCTTCAAAAGAAAAAACAAAGTCCAGTTGCCTCCTGGAAAAAAAAGCACCTTTGAAGGCCTACTATTCCTGCCCATGGAGGTTCCTTTTACAGCTCTCCCCGATCACGTGGCAATAGTTTGATCCCAGGGACTCACACAGAGAGACGCCGTTGAGCACGATGCCGGAAAAAGCCATCCCGGTGAGAAAACGGAGGATGCAGTAAACGCTGAATTTGGGAGCGAACGCAGTCGCGGTGCCAGTTGTAGCCAGCTGCAGGTAGCACCACAAGAGGATTGGCCGGCGACCGAATCTGCAAGGGGGCAGAAAAAGGAGGAACGCCAGAACAAAAGTGGGGAGGAAAGGGAATATTAGGAAGGAAGGATGGAGCCGAAATTTGGTCTCCCGTTCTCATTTTCATCCCGCGAGAAAATTGACTTCTGAAGTTTCTTTCCCGAGGTCACATAATCCCCTTTTGAGACCTTCCGATGAGTAAAATCAGGGCGATTCACTTAACGACCGTGTTACTAACTCAAGAACAGCGGCGATCCCCTTAACAGCTGCAGCAAGCCAGCTGTTGTAAAATGGTGCCAATTTCACTTAACCAATGCCTCGCTTATAAGCAGCAGAATATTTGGGCTCGATTGTGGTCGTAAGTCGAGGATTATCGGTCGTGCAAAATGGGCCCACGTTTTTGAGATGTTTCGTGCCTCTTCAATGTGCGATCTTTATTCCCCTTAGCACTGCAACCTGATCTTCTAAATTAGAAGTAAATACTAATAGAAATATTTGATTGGGTCGTTCAATAAGACACCACTTTACAGAACAGGCAGAAGCTAAGTTATCCAGTTAATTATCCCCTTAGCGCCGTGATGGCAAACTTATGGCACGCGTGTCACAAGTGGCACGTAGAGCCCTCTCTGCAGGCATGCCAGTTGTTGCCCCAGCATGGGTGCACGCTTCCCCCCGGCCAGCTGGTATTCGGCAGCACCTGCGCGGGGGACGGAGAGCAGGGTACATGCGGGGGATGCACACACACATGCGTGGGGGGAACGGTATCAGGGGTGGGTTCCTGCCAATTCTAACCTCTTCTATAGAAGAGGTTCCACAAATTTACCGTGCCGTTTAGAACGTGTTCCGGCCGCCTTCCCCCGCCCGTCCGCACCACGCTTTCCCCGTCCACTGCTCACTGATTGGCTGGCTCACCAATCACCCCGCCCACTTCTAAGAGTCCTTTCTAAACCTTAAAGTCTTAAAGCTGTCAAGTCTGAACACCCCTGGGGTTTTTTTTCCTAAAGGGTTAGGGGTGCA